GATTGAACCCAGGCCTGCTGGGGTGAGAGGTAATCACGCTTACCACTACACCACCGGCGCCGTTTTCCCTTTTTGAAATGTTCATCGAGAAATCATATTCAGCCTCCACAACAGCCAAAAAACGAGTCGATTTTAGTCCTCAGCCCACGCACATTTTGAGAAGAAATCCAGAGCCCATTCGAGGAGCGATCCCGGGAGCTGGAAACCGAAGGAAGTTTAGGTACCGAATGTTCAGAATCGGAATAATAATGTTGTTTTGTTTGACAGCAGCTTTTCGGCTTTGCGCCCATATGATGCTGTGATCCGAAAAGTCAGAAAACAAATGACAGTGATCTTGCTCACTGAGCATTGTGAGTTACTCGAGGTGCCTCAAAAGTATCTCTTAAAATGCTCATGATTAGGAGCTGTCGTGCCGTTTGAATCAGACTACCTGTGCGCTTGTTTGTACCACATGTAATGAACTCCAAGCAACTGCAGTTTTTTTGCGGCAGTAAGCCACGTTGTGATCTGTGTGGCGTGGAGCATATGGAGGATTCTTGTCATGTCCCTCCAAAATGTGCTTATTGTTTACACAAGTCATTCAGACGGGGTATAAAAATTTCATCAGGTGTACCTTGTTTAAAATCAGTGGCTTAACTTGTATGCAGGCTGATCTCCGAATAACTTCCTGGCAAGTCAATCGTTAAACTATGAAATTACATCAAAATAACACGCGGTGCAGCCATGATATATGGAACATATATGGTGTAAATATGTTCAAAGTAGTTGTAAAGTATTTTGTATATAGTACATTAAAGTGAAAAATGAGACAAAATGCAATTTTTTTTACAAAATTCCTTTGGGCCAGGTGCTGTGTTTAGCAAATGAGCTGATTTTCTACACAGTGAGTGCCGAGGCTGACAGAATGTGAATTAGTTCCGAAAACAATCATTTTGTCTCAGTTCGTCTGTGTATGTGCCGTAGACTCGTTCCAATATCGACATTTTGATAAAATACATGCATAGATGGTTACTGTTTTTGGCAAAGCTGCTCAGAAAGACAAAATCTATTGAATCAGCTTAGAATTTCCTCAACTGACGGCCACCACCTAGGCATTTGGCTTCTAATTGAATGCGTCGTACTGCTTCTGACAGCACCCACCAACAGTGAGCGAGTAGATTTGAAATGTTTAGCTTGGTGGTAAGCCGTGGCGTAATTAACTTTCTATTAAAATACCAATAATTGTGCACTTTGTTCCATATATTATTTCATTAAAATATCGCTACACAATGAACTAAATGTAGATATTTTCTCATGGGAAAAAGGAATATTTGAAGAAACATTTGATGATTTAATGTCTGAATTGATGGTGAAAAGAAGTAATCAATTGTTGACTATAACTTGACATTTCAAGTAGATTGACATAGAGAAGCTGAATAAGGGTCTAAAGTGTCTACGTGGTTTATGAACAGCCCCCAAGATCTATATGATGGTGGACAGCTCAGTTCACAATTCACTAAACAGGTGGCGTTAGTGTGCATTGATATCTCTTATTGTTTGCTATAACTTGATAACACGACTAGATAGAAGCTTGCTGAGTGAAGTTCTTCTGAATGACTAGTCCTGTCGTTTGGTGGGCTTTTTAGTTCAAAGTTTACTCACCACTAATGCCATTTGATTAAAAACTTGACTGGATAAAATGTTGCTTGGAAAATTCATTCGCTCGCGCGAGCACCACATAAACAAAACAGCCATCCTCACCAATAAACAGATTACTGAACGAGTGTAAATTCTTCCAAGTGACTCTGCAGGAAGACTTCGGAACTGACCGTAATAGAAGGCACGATGGATAAACGGAAAGGCAACCGAACAATTACCTCTCTACCCGTGAACCCGATTGAAAGTATAAACAGTGAACTTTAATGATTTAAATAGCCGAGTGAGATAGTTTGTGGCTCAGTGATTTAAATCAGTTGAATTGGCCACAATAGTTTTACTTAATTTGCGTGACGCTTCATGAAATTATAAGTAAAATTGTGATTTTACCGTTTCTACTGAATTTTCAACGTTACTATTCACTGACAACATTAAAAATAGTATTGAAAAATGTATTGTTTCTAAACAGTTAAAAGTAACGCGAGAATTCTGCGTTCAACGAAGAAAATAGAAGAGAATACGAACGAAATCAGTGCGACTCACACAAGCTACTGCGTGTGAGTGAGTATTACATGGAATAGTGGATAGCTCAGTTCATAATTTTCACCAAGCGAGGAAATGCTCATTAAAGCTCAATTGCTACATTTCAAAACTATGAAACTATGAGATATTATAATAATAATTCGTATATGTTAGGTGCAAGCAGACAGTGTACAGTTTGTGTGTTACACATAAAACTTGTCGGGGTGACCCCGGCGTAGTGGTTGAAATCAATACCGCTCACGCCAAAGTCACGAGTTCAAATCTCACCTCCCCAGACAAGTCACGAATGAGGGTTAAAGTGACTAAAATAAGCAATTGTGATAAGTTAGCACTCATCGTTATAGCTAATCGCTAATTGTGACACTCTGGAAGCCAAATTGACAGGTTTTATGTGTCATACACAAACTTTACCTCCTCTTCAGGCTACTTATAAATAAAAAAATATCGTTATAAAGGGTGTGCACAGTTAAATTGCATCACTTTAAAAAAAGCTCTAACATTTTGCCCTTTGGAATAATTTTAATGAAATTTTGGATGAGATGTCAACAACCCACATCTTTTGCACCGAGCCATGGGAAAGATGTTGGGAGTCTGACAATCTACTGTTTGTCGTCTCAAAAAAACATTTCGGAGAACGTTTAACTGCTTTGAAGATCACAAGCGAGTGGTTGCTGCCTTCAAACGCAAACCCAACTATTCCGTTCGGGATGTCTGAAACCTGACAAAATGTTTCTTGCAGAAAGTCAAGAAACGAGCAGGACTACGTTCATTCAAGGTTCGAAATGAACGACAGAATAGAACAGCTAGAACGCAGGCACGTAAGCTGTACACAAAAATGTTGACAAAACCACACTGCTGTATCATGGACGATGGAACATAGGTAAAAACGGACAAGTTCGATAGATCAGAGTCCCTCAGGAAACAGCAAGTGTCGATGATCCCCATGAAATTCATGATTTGACAGGCTATCTTTGTTCGTGCGGAAAACGGAGCGAGCCTTTCGTAACAACTACAACCTTAAATGGCCAAGTCTACATGAATGAGTGCCTGAAGAAACGACTGCTTCCGTTTCTCAAATCACACAACATTCTTACAATGTTTGGCTGGATCTAGCCTCTTGTCACTATTCCAAGGACGTTCTGGAGTGGTACGAGATGAATGAGGTCAATTTCGTGCCGAAGGATCGAAATCTCTTAAACACAACGTAGTTGCGGCCGATCGCTATAATGAAGCACGAACTCCATAAGCATCCTAAAGTTGTCACTACGGAGTAGAAAATGTTTGAATCGTGATTTAAAGTAGAACAATATTTCATTTCAACCGTTGTACAAAAACTTATAGGTGGAATTAAGAAGAAAGTTTGGTCATTTGGATTTGGTGAAGAAATAGAGTGAAATAAAGATACGTAAACCAAGCTTATATATAGTACACCCCCAAAAATTATGAATTTTAATGGTAATGTAAATATCCATGCATGCTAAAATTGAAGCATGCAAACTTCCTTTTTACGTAAACTAGCAACTTGCAAGAAATATTGCTTACAAAGTTGGATGGTTGCATACAATATTTAGAATATTCCATGAAATGACTCATAAATTTACACGATCTGTAATGTGAATTTGTATCGTATGTGACGCTCCATTCATGTGCATCGTAGTAACAGAAATTTACACTACTTTTTCGAACTGTGTATTACATTCCCTGAAAATGTTATGACAGTTGGCTGAGAGACTTATTTTTAGCGAGTTCTTCTAGGTGATGCAATTTTTAACTGTGGATACGCAAAAAAACATGGAAAATTAATTCAAATTTGAGCTTTTCACGAGGGACATAAACTGGATGACAAGTGCTATAACTGGAACTCTTTTCCTACTTGGAATGATTGAATTTCTTTTAAATCAAATAATATAATAGAATGTTATATAATATAGTGTCTATTTCAGCAATACAGTACCATTCCGCATTCTAAAACACGACTACGCAAGTAAATTCATAGAATTATCGTGAGTAAACTGCTATACTACCAAAACCAGTCATACAAAGGTAATATATACTGTTATAGAACATGTGTGTTGCTTGGGTTGGCTTTTACTTTCCACCGTTTTGTGCCTGTGCTTTCTGCATAACTTTCTTCTGATCCATTAATAATTGAATGTCAGCGTTCGCTTGATTTTATAGAAAGTATAAAAGGCACAAATTATATGTTGCCATGAGCGGGAAGGTTTCTTCTTCTTCTTTGTCTTTTATTACGTCACAATTGGGACTTTACGTCGGCTCTCAGCTTAGTATTCTTTGAACACTGCCAGAAGTCAGTACCATTTTTACATTAGTATGATTATGTGGCAAGCGATCTCTATGCCCAGAGAAATCGAGCCATTTTTAAATCCGAAAAATTCCTAGACCGGTCCGAAAATCGAACCTTTCTGCCTCTAGCATGGTCTTGCTTTATAGCTTCGCCTTAACCGACTTAGCTAAGGGAGGCCCCCTGGAAACCACTATAATCAAAAATGGAAAATATCATCTATTTCCAAATACCAAATGACGGTAGCAGCCACGATGCGTACTAAAAATTATGCAAAACTATTCAGTTTCTTCCTTAAATTTCAAGTAGTTCATCATAAATTGGTTTGCTAAATTTCTACTAAGCAGTGTTACATAAACACTATATTAAATAAAAAATCATCCAAACTTTGCACCCAACGGCTCTAAAGTCAAGTTCATGGTAATCAGTATTTATTCCACACATGTGAGTCCTTTAGTTATCGAATTTTCTTTTATCCCAACACGCACACACATAATTCACCACCATCGCCACCACTCACCTTGTTGTTGTGCAACATTGCGGTAGCCTTTCTTTTCGCTGCCATCGCGAGCCGACACCGATATAGCGTATTCGCGTATTACAATTCCAGACGATTTACGATTTCACACGACGAACGATTCCAAGAGAAAGAGAAACACAGAATGCAATGACACGTGTGCACGTTTTATTTATGTCGTTGTCGTTATTCCCACGTTGGAAAATTCAGAGAAAAAAATCACGATTCATTCAAAGATGCACAGAACGCAACACCCCACCCAACACCAGCGAAAATTCCGAACGTAGGCAACCGTTGATGGTAAATGCACGTTCAGTCGATCGTTGCCGTTTTTTTTTTGTTAAAAAATTCAAGATATTTTTTGAATTTCCATACGAAGAAGAAAAGAAAAGAGAAAAGGAAAAACTTTGATAGTTGATTTGAATCACTTTTTGAAAGAAAGAAAAAAACTAAAACACACTATTCATGGTCGGTTCAGAAAAAGTTTCCTCTGAAATATGATTAACTCCGTCGCAAAGTTAAAACTCACTCATTGGTTTTGTACACACTTTGGACTTTGGATTCCTAAACACACTGCGTTGAAAGCAAAGAGTTTGGCTAAGAAAACCGATCCGCACTCGACGACGAGCAAAGCAGCACAAACGCTCTACCAGGACCAACCGACGTCTATTATTATCCTTGAAGGAAAAATGTAAGATGGAATGCGCCCTCGTCTTCTTGAGTTCGGGGGGTTGCTGCTGCTGGTACCACTAAAGGATCTTCTCCGGTATGCCTTCCTTTCGGGTGGCTTTCGGTCTGTGTATCTCTCTCACTTCTAGGCAAGAAGGAAATGCCACCACCAGGCACCAACAGTACCAACGTCTTCTTCTCGGGGTGGTTCAACTGTGTTGGTTGTTCGGCTTCTTGTGTGGAGGCGCACTAAGCAACCCCTTTCTGGTGATTAGAGGGTGGTAGCTCTGAAACCGAAAGGATTCTTCTGGGGTTGAGGTTCAAAACCCGAAACGAGCGCCAATGTGGGTGGTATTTCTTGAAAGCTTCCAAGAAATTTCAAAGCAGCAAAGTCTGTCTGTATGTAGCAGCTCAAATCTTCTCAATCCTTCCGGAGCACCGTTTTCCGATGTCACTACTCGCCGAATACTAAGTTTTGACTGACCAAAACATCACTGCTGCACCCCCTATACATAGGAAAGCAAAAGCAAGGAGACTGCTTCCCTCCGCGCCATCACATGCTCTAGAACCCTGCGGAGGTGGAGAAGGGTACGCTTTCTCTTATGTACCGAAAAAGTTTTTTTTTTCGTGCGCTACTTCCTTCCCGAGATAGCAGCTACAACTCCTGCATTATGTATTGCCATACGAACCGACATCCACCTCACAAAAATCCCTTTTCTGCCTTTTCCCATCCCACTCGATGGTACAGCGGAACACAGAACGCGCTGTGGGATGAGAAGCGAACGACACCCCCTCAACCAATCACTCACCCAATGCCAAAGGCAGCAGCGGCGGTGGCGGAGTCGACGGCATCAACGGCGGATATGGTTAGCATCAGCCCCTCTTACTCGACGCGCGAGGAAAACTCTTCGCAGTAGGATTATGCTGCCGTTCTGTGTATGCAACCCTCTGCCTGCGACGACGTACGTACGGCCTTGTTCTTGCTTGCATCTCGTCGGCCCTTAGCATGGCAGTGTACGGCTCGCTTCAATCATCGCCAGAATGCTGCTTCTGTTTTGGCACAGCTCGCACAGTGGGAATAACAAGCTACCGAGGACGGAACTAAATTTCAGTATCTAAAATTTTTCTATTTGCTTGTATTATACATTTTTTAAATGATACAAAATGTTCATATTTTTTATCAGTAAAGTTCGTTAATGGTATACGAGAAGCAAGTTAAGTGTTCTTGTTGAAGGGACAAGCGGGATAATTTCCTGGCTGACCAATAGAAAATAACTAAAACAGCCGGGGATATTCGTCTCCTCTACAATAGTGGATGAATGCAAAGGTGCTCATCAAAGACGTAAATTGATAGTTGTTACCAATCCCATTGGACAACTGAAACGCATGTCATGATTATTGTGATTTTCTTCGATCTTAATATAGGTTTCCAAAGCATTTCAAATATTTATTAATCATTTTTGAAGTTCTCCAAAGTTCTTTGCAGAAACGTTAACTACTGTAAAATTACCATAAGCTTCCTTGAGATAAACTTCTCAGAAGTATTTCTCGAGTCTTTCTGATGTTCTCTAAACTACAGGGTGAGGAAAAATTAACTGCCTTTTTTACAGTGTATTTCACAGATGCTAAATTCATAACATCTATGCCAAATTTAACCTTGGGTCATTGTAAGCAAACTTTCAAAATTTCATTCAAATCCACTGATGAGTAGTGCCACAATAAATCCAAGACGACTTCTTGACGGTTTTATTCAACTGCATGCTTAACCGTTATGTGATCGACAGGGTACCTGGGTACCTTTTCAGATTTCAAGTTAATAAATTATGAAGTTATTTGCACGACAGGAAACCAGAATTCTTAGAACTTATGGAGCAACAAATTTTCATGAAGAAAGATTTCAAATTGCAGCAAGGGGCTTCGAAAGGGGGGGTCGTGAAATTGTTTACCCTTTAGGAGCTCGACAAGGGTACCCGGGTACCCACAAAATTGAAATGCTTGCTACTGCTGCCAATTTTGACCGATTCTTAATCTTTTGGCACCATTGGATTCAGAAACTTATCCTCTTTCTGGACATTGCAATTAATGGAATAGTATGGTTCCCGAAAATCCAGATTTCCTGTATAATGTTCCAGAACTAAGCATTTTCTTGACACTTTCGCTAGAATTTCGAAGGAATCAATATCAAAGTATCAGAATTTCCTTCAAAAAAAAATTAAAGTGTTGTGTCCTAGTCACGACCGCAGTATGACGTAAAGCTACGCCAAATTGATGTATGTCATGCATTTTCAACTATTATACGTTATCTTAAATTTTTCAAGTATTTCAATGTTTCCGTTATGGTTCAAAACTCGAGACAATTCATGTTAGCATAATCAGACCACCGTTCTTCTTACGCATGAGATAATGTATTTAAATTTAATGTAATGGTTAAGAATTGAAAGAAGAATTTTCCCTACATAACAACATAGGGTTGATCAATGTTGATAATTTTGCTGTGATCAATGTGCACCAAATTCGACATCGACTACAATAGTAACTGACACTATTTCGTCACACATTTTTTGTTGATTTGCACCTCAGTATAATACACAAAAACGCCATGCATGTTGTGGGATAAAACAATTCGCAAAAAAATACATTTTTTTCAGTAGCTCCATCATTAGTTTTGAATTAGGTCTCTGAAGCAGAGAAGAGAGTGAAGGTTGCATTTTATAATAAAACAACAGGCAGTTGTTTTTCCTATCAGAAGACGGTACTTTCAAAATTGAACAAAATGTTGGTTCATATGTCAGCGTAGTAGGGGAGGAAGGGGTATAACGATCATACGGGGTTGAAGCACCTCTTTGTTCTCCATAACATAAAATTATCATGCATCATCATTATGTACTTGTGTCCGAGTAATTTTGATTATCGTTGCAGTGGTAGAGCCTTTTTCGCTCCCACTAGTACGGCAAAATGGACATTTTGTCGGAAGACGAAATGGACGTTTTGTCGGAAGGTGGCACCACTTTGCCACGCGATAGCAAGAAGGGTCGAAAACGTCTGTCATCCCAGAAATCAGATGATGCCTTCCCTGGTTCGTCATCTCAGTTTGGTAATGGACAGGGACAGATAAGCCCCCGATCGCGAGCCTACCCAGAAGACTCGACTGGCCCATGGGTTGTTTACTTTCAGCCCAAAAAGAAACCTTTGAATGTATTGCAAATTACTAATGATCTGACGAAGCGGTTCTCAGCCGTGACCGAAATCTCGAAGGTGAGGTACAATAAACTTCGCGTTGTCGTCTCTAACCTGAAACAAGCTAACGAGATTGCTGCCTCCCAGCTCTTTACACTCGAGTATAGAGTGTACATCCCAGCTCGTAATGTGGAGATCGAAGGTGTGGTCACCGAAGCGAGTCTGACCCCCGAGATCTTGGCGAAGCGAGCGGTTGGCCGTTTCAAGAACCCCTTGCTTCCCACGGTTGAGATACTGGAAGTCCAGAAGCTGAACTCAGTATCTTTCAGCGACGGTAAAAAGACCCCCACAGACTCGTTTCGGGTGACCTTTTCTGGTTCAGCCCTTCCTCACTACATCGAGTTGGGAAAACTTCGGCTACCTGTGCGCTTGTTTGTTCCTCGGGTCATGAACTGCCAAAACTGCAAACAGTTGGGACATACGGCCTCTCACTGTGGCAGCAAGGCACGCTGTTCCAAATGCGGGGAGAAGCACGAGGATGGCGCCTGCACAGTCACTGCACCAAAATGCGTGTACTGTAAGGGAACTCCTCATGGTCTCTTATCGTGCCCGCCATACAAACAACGTGGGAAGAAACTAGAACGCTCTCTTAAGGAGCGTTACAGGCAGTCTTTTGCAGCAATGCTAAAAACAGCCACACCATCAACCAACGACAAAAATCCCTTTGCTGTTTTGTCTGATGACGAGTCTTTCAGTTTTCCAGAAGGTTCTGCACGGAAACGAAAACGCATCCGTTCGCGGAAAGTTGCAGATAAGGAACTCCAAATCAGCTTGCCCAAATCAAGGAGTGATGGAAAAAAGGAAGTTTCAACTCCTCCTGGTTTCCGCAGAACTGACTATAACCAGAACTTTCCATCTCTCCCGGGGACATCAAAAACCCCTGATGGCCCATTTTTAAGAACAGAAGCCCCTTCTTCATCCGGGTTGTTCTCATTTGATAAAATTGTGGACGATATTCTCAAGTACCTCAATATTTCTGATCCTCTCAAAAGCATTGTTCTGGCAATGCTTCCTTCTGTGAAGACCCTCTTGAAGCAATTGACATTGAAGTGGCCCCTCATTGCAGCAATCATTTCCTTCGATGGATAATTTTCCAAACGATGTCGGGGATTTGATCACTGTTCTACAGTGGAATTGTCGAAGTCTCATTCCTAAATTAGATTCTTTTAAGTTTTTAGTTCACAATAATGATTGTGATGCATTTGCTGTTGGTGAAACTTGGCTCTCTTCAGATATCGATCTTCCTTTTTATGATTTTAACATTATTCGACTGGATCGTGAGGATTCGCGTGGAGGAGGGGTACTTTTGGGGATCAAAAAGTGCCATTCCTTCTATAAAGTGAATCTTCCACAATTTCCAGGTATTGAAGTTGTCGCATGTCAGGCTATTATTAAAGGTAAGAGCCTTTGTATTGCTTCTGTTTATATTCCTCCTAGAGCCGTTGTTAATCGCAAACAACTTTCAGATATCTGTTCGGTACTTCCTGCTCCACGGTTGATTATGGGAGATTTGAATTCCCACGGTACAGGCTGGGGGGAACTGTATGATGACAACCGTTCTACTTTGATATATGACCTCTACGACAGCTTTAATATGACAATTCTTAACAATGGAGAAGTAACACGTTTGGCTGGCCCATCCTCGAATGGAAGTAGATTAGACCTCACACTTTGCTCTAACTCATTATCGTTGGATTGCACGTGGAATGTGATCCAAGATCCCCACGGTAGTGATCACTTGCCGATCAAAGTTTCAGTTGCCAGTGGGTTCAATCCGTCGGAACCCGTTTACGTCGCGTACGATCTTACCCGTAATATCGATTGGACAACGTTCAAAAATGTGATAGAAGATGCTCTAACGTCGGTAGAAGGGCTTCCACCGTTGGAGGAATATAACTTCCTCTCCAATCTGATCTTGGACAGCGCGCTTCAAGCTCAAACTCGGCCGGTTCCAGGAACGTCTTTCCGTAGGAAATCTCCTTCCTCTTGATGGGACCAGCAATGCACTGAGGTTTATCGTAAAAAGTCCGACGCGTTTAAGCGTTTCCGGAAACGTGGAACACCCGTACATTTCAAAGCGTACTCGGCTCTTGAACGCGAACTCAAGAGCCTCATAAAAGCCAAGAAACGCGGATACTGGCGGCAATTCGTGGACGGATTATCACGCGAAACGTCGATGAATACGCTTTGGAATGCGGCGCGAAGGATGCGTAACCGGTCTTCAA